TAAATATTCAGTTTTTTATTTTAATGATGCTTTCTTGTAAATCCGCATTTTAAATTCATTAACTGAATTATAATTTAAAATTCATTTTTAATTCAATTCCAAATGGCACACAACCCTTGTGAATAAGGGGTATAAGGTTGCTTTCATTAGTATTTCTGTCTTGTAAGTTTAATGATAATGTGTATTTAAATTTAGCCTGTTTCAGGATCTTAGACCAGGTCTTAGCACTTAAATACCTTCAAATGCCCCTGTCATTAAGCCAATGTGATTATTATTCAGGTAGCTAACTCAAACTATTGCTCTACAGTACTATCGCAGTAGTTATAAACCTATTTTAGAAGACAGTTTATGCTGATATGCTATAGAGCCCCTTGCGATGTGCTATGAATTGCCATCTGACACATTTCGTTAGAAGCGTGTACTTCTGAGGTCTTAGTCTAATGTTTATATTTAGCCAAGTTACCAGCTTATTGCTATAACGCTGATGACTTAAGATTCCTCCTTTACAGGAAAAACCTCAAATAATGTGGGACTTGGAAAACCCAGCAGAAGAAAAGAATGCAACAGCAAAGGTACATTTTGATTATTCACATGACTATTCATAACAAGTAGATATGATCTCATCACTGTACTAATTACAAATTTAAAACCAGCACATTGAATCTTGCTCTTTCCGTCCTCCACTCATTCAGACTCTGCAGGAGGAGCGTATCGCAGTTCGCAACGTCTTCAAAGCACTCAGTGATCTGAGGGGAAAAGAGCGATCGCTTCTGCACGGAGAATATGTCAGCCTTCACAGTTCAGCCACTTCATTAGCATTTCTCCGCCTCTGGGATCAGAGCAGCCGTTTCCTTACTGCTATGAACTGGGGAAATGACCCTGTAACCATGATCCTCTCTGACAGCGACCTGCCGGCTCAAGCTCAGGTCCGCCTCACCACAGATGCTGCCAATCTAGCCGTGGATAGCATGGTCTCCTTAGAGAAGTTACAGCTTGGGCCCAAACAGGCGGTTCTGTTGTCTTATCCTTATGCTGGTTAAACACACATCTGCAGATCCTCACATATCGTCTCAGAGCTGTTTGACTTTCTCCGAGGTCTAATAAAATAGGCCTAGTGTCTTTATGTTTCTTTACGTTTAAGTAGACAAAGTCTAAATGCTTTTGAATTTTGAAGTGATTTTTGATGAGTGACTTTTGTCAATCAGTGTGTGTATTAAATTCGACTTCTCTTATCTACTAATAAAGTTGAATAAAAAGGTTTTTCATGTCTACTTTCAGTGCACAGACGTGTTTGTACAAAACCACAAATAAATCAGCTTAACTACAAAGCTGATAAATGTTTACCGCTGTATGTCTGTCCTTTTTACTGTGTATTTTATAATGAAAAAAAGTGATTTTTGTGTGTACGAAACACCTTTGACATTTTTTTTTTTACCTTTGTTGTGCGCTTGTGTCTTGGCTCTATGCCATGTGTCGTTAATTCTCAGGGCAGGAAAAGGAAGACTCTAAAGTCAACAGGTGTGTGTATGTGTGTCATGTGCGATCTTGATGTGTACTATATAAAACTATTACTTCCTGCACACTTTAGCTTGTTAAAAAGTAACATTTCTTCCAGCACCTAAATGCGGAACGGGTCAGCATGACGTCATAAATCTAGCTCTTTAGTTAAGAAATATGTAACACAATGGCTCAGTACAACAACGTTTGATTTATACACAGTAATTAAAATATTCTTGACAATTTTTTTTCCCCTCAGGATGTGCACTACTACATATAGGGGAAAGTGCCTCTTTCTTAAGTTATTTTGTATTTTACTTGATGCCCCATTTGTTATTTTTTTAATGGCAGTCTAGTGTTGATTAATGTAAGGTCATAGGTCAAATCTGAAATTTCAAAAGTGTATAATTCTCATTTACTTACCTTTAGTTTCTGTGGGTTCCATATCATATTTTCTTCAGCAATAAGCGTATGCTGGGCTTGGATCTCTGTGTTAACATGGATGAGACAGAAAGAGATCGATCTTGAAAGAAATCTTTATCTAATTGTGAACTTTCCCAGATATAAGTGGTGGTGAGGGCTGTTCGTTTGCATGTCCTCCCACAGACAAGAACATGTTTGTTGTACAGAAAAGTTAAAAATCTAGACGATCTACAATGGTAGAGAAAATTACATTATTGTATTAAGTTGTATAGTGATAAATCATCAAAATCTTTCAAATACATTTTCTATTTTCTGTTCATTATAAAAGAGTAATTCTTTAAGTATAGTATCAATAAAAATTAATAATAACAATTATATTAATAATAGCAACTCATATTCATAAAATCTAAATCAAGTTGAGTGAAGTTTACAACATTTATGGTAAAGAACTAGAACTAGAACAGATCACAAAAATGTTTGGTGAGAACTAAAAGGTGTTTGGTAAAAACTAAAATCAGAAGGGGAAAAAACATCCAGGTCAGATGTTCAGATAAAGACTGAACAAAACAACAGTTTCTACATTTAACATATTTTACCTTCAGCGTTTTGTTGTTTAAACATTTAAACTGGATTAACATGCACTGACTGAATCAAGTAAGTTTGTGCTTTCCAGTTCTATTACACTTTTCATTTTGGTGGCATTTTTGTTGTAAATATTAGAGCTGCGTTTAAGTCATTGCAATGTATGTACAATATTAGGTATGAAACACTTATTTGTACAACTGCTTCAAACTATTATTTTTTATTTGACTTCTCTATGACAACGTAAATATTTTAAGCATTTTTGTATTATTTTACAAAATTAGTTGAACCAAAGTTTTGTTGTTAGAAATTACATAATCTTAGCATTAGAAAAAGAACTGAATTATACAATCATAAACCGAAATACAGCAAATTGTGTTCGGTCGTTATGTTTATAAAAAAAAAATGTTTGAAGCAATATCTGTGCACAAAATAGTGCAAAATATCTGTGTAAATAGTTGTGCTACTTTGATTATGTCTCAGACGACGTTATAACATCAGCTGTTTGTGCATGTGTGTGTTGATCTGAATGTCAGCGGGGGTACAGTGATATTTCAAAATCGACGGAGACAGGGACGTGTTTCTGGTAAAACACGACGTCGCACTCTTGAGATGACTGAGTGTGGTCACAAACCCGTGTGTGTGTTACATGTATTTGTCAGACGTGTGAGTGTGTACCTGTGTGATTGTGTGTTTCTTTTCTGTGGGGATGGGGGTTTCATTTTGACTCTGGGCAACTTTTGACGGCAGTGAATCGGGTTTTTTGAGCCAGATCACACAGCAGCTTATCTTATTCAACTTAAGTTGTTCACTTGAAATGCCTTTAAAATCAGGAAACATTTCTGGTAACTCTGAACCACACTTGTCTTCTCGTGTGATTTGGGTTTTGTACGGGCTTGATCATCTGTTTCTTTCTCTCCTTCTTCTCCCTCATCTCAAAAAGAGAGACGAGAGAGACGAGAGAGAAAGACACAACGCCCCCTCTCGCCCTGTTGATGTGAAACTCCTCACTGAACAATGCCCAGTCATGCCTGACTCTCGGTTTTACTGCTACAGCCTACTCACATCACTAAACTTCATTAAACCCTGTTATCTTGAACCCCCATCTTCATCGCAAACATTTCTTCATAAGCATCACCATCTCCATTATCACCATCATCATCACCAAACTCTATATTATTCTCAGCAAAAGTGTGACTTTCGATATCAAATACACCGTTGTTTGTCAAAATCTCTGCATGAAATAGTGATTCTCCCTAAAATGAATGAGGGTGGCTGCGTTGCAATTTCAACAATCATTTTCATACCTCATCATCAATAATGGCCTACCGAAATATGTCACCTACACGTAGAGATGGTAACCTGCAATTGTTGCAATCTTTAAAATAAAAATTCCTCATTCTCACGTGCGCTCCAAACTGTACGACTTCTTATGTGGAACACAAAAGAAGATCATTTGAAAGAACTCTCATACAACAAAAGACAGTGTTGTTTTTGAACCCCTTTAACTTTAATTGTATAATCATAAAAAGCCAAAACTTGCTTTAAAATATCTTTGTGTTCAGCCATCTTCATCGCAAACATTTCTTCATAAGGATCACCATCTCCATTATCACCATCATCATCATCATCATCACCAAACTCTATATTATTCTCAGCAAAAGTGTGACTTTCGGTATCAAATACACCGTTGTTTGTCAAAATCTCTGCATGAAATAGTGATTCTCCCTAAAATTAATGAGGGTGGCTGCGTTGCAATTTCAACAATCATTTTCATACCTCATCATCAATAATGGCCTACCGAAATATGTCACCTACACGTAGAGATGGTAACCTGCAATTGTTGCAATCTTTAAAATAAAAATTCCTCATTCTCACGTGCGCTCCAAACTGTACGACTTCTTATGTGGAACACAAAAGAAGATCATTTGAAAGAACTCTCATACAACAAAAGACAGTGTTGTTTTTGAACCCCTTTAACTTTAATTGTATAATCATAAAAAGCCAAAACTTGCTTTAAAATATCTTTGTGTTCAGGTTTGGAACAACATGAAGGTGAATACATGATTCATTTTTATTAAGGAATAGTTTACCCTCATGTCCTTCCAAACCTGTATACGTTTCTTTCTTATGTTGAACACAAAAGAAGATATTTTGAAGAATGTTGGTATTCGAACAGTTGTTGTGTTCAACATAAGAAAGAAACTCACACAGGTTTGGAACGACATGAGGGTGAGTAAATGACGACAACATTTTCATTTTAGGGTGAACTATTCCTTTAAGGGCCATTTCTACCCAATCTAGGCCATCTTCAAACTAGTTTTGTTGTATTTTCGTAATGTATTTGGTTGATTAAGTGATGTTAGATAATATTTTGACTTCAATAAATCAGATATTTAGATTTGTTGTGAGTGCACAAAAAAATTCTCTCAGCATGTAATATCCACAATCAACGGCTATTTAAATGAAAAACATTTCTGCTATTCCAACACCGTGTATTCATTTTATTATGCTTTTTTTTATTATTATAATCAGCATCTTCTCCTTACTCAATAAAGTACCTTCACGGACCCCTGTTTGAAGCCCCCGGAGGTGATACAGGAGACCATGGAAATACAATAAAATACAACATAGAACAAATAGGTTGTAGAATAGTTTTTCAGCACTTAATAGCAGTATTTAACAATCAAATACTAGATGGATAAGAAAGAGAGAGTGAAAAAAACGTAGGGGCAAGGACAGGCGCTTTGTCAAACTGAGAGCTGCCTCTGAGGTCTGAGTCGGAGCAATACAGGTTTTTTCTCGCTCTCTCTCTCTCTACGGTGTATGATGTTTTTTCTCACTCGTTTCCAGGATCACAATGACAAAGTCTTCAAAAGATCAGAGGAACCAAGAGAAGACTGCCGTACCGAAAAGTTAACCATCACTAACGCCTCCGCAGAGCCTGCATGTCTTTCTCTCTGTCTATCTTGCCTTAACAGTGCATCCCTCCTTCATTCACTCACTCGTGTATACAGACTTGCATGTAACACGCAGAGAGTTCAACTGTCCTGCAGGCCTTGACTTCAAAACTGAGAGGTAAGTGACATCTTCCTCTGTTTATGAACAAGACAACAAAAAACAGACAATGAAGTGAGTTAGCGAGTGATAAAACAGACTAATAGATAGTGTTTTATAAGTATATACACATGTATTTCAGTTCTGCAAACAAAGTTATATAAGGCACAGACATGGCTGTGCTGACACTCATCTTGTTTGTTTTTACATCTTGAATGTAAAGCGATGCAGACGCATGGCGCTTGTTTTTGAAACTCATAAGATTGTGTATTGCACCAGACTTGTAGACTAGCGCAAAAACAGGTTCATCTAAGCAACATGGATCTACGTGTAGCATGAAACATTTCATTGATGTTGAGGCCTAGTTTCGGAAAACGACTGGAGTACAGAGGACACATTAGACACTCAGTGTGGATTGAATGAGGTATCTTTTTGACTGTAATGTACCTCTTTTTACATTTAATTAATGAACATCTTCTTTAGTTTATGAGATGCATACACTAATAATAGTTCACTCCATTAGTATTTTGTGGCGTCTATGACATTCTTCAGATTGTGAACGACAGAGTAGAATATTGATAATTTTCGGATAATCTGTAGATGAAACGTGTGAGTTTCATGAGAAACAGAATTGGATTGCGTACAATCCTGTGAGAAAAAGCAGTTTGAATACTTTTTCTTGGTTCTGCGCTCTAAGTACAAAAACTCAAAAATAATAAAAGTAAAGCTTCTATTTCTGGAAATCATATTCAAAAAATATTTTTAAGGGGTAAGTGTTTTTTTTGAGCCTTGAGCATAATTTCTCTCCCCTTTTATGTGCATTTGTAGTTCCTTGAAGACCTGCGTCAATGATTATGGGACTGAAAGTGTGTGCAAGGTTCTTCCCTTTAACACAAAGAGCAGTCAGTAATGACCTATTTTTGTTGATGGTGGACCATGCAAATTATTAATAACTCGGGCTCCTAATAATGTATTGTCTGATTTTACTGTTTTTTCCGCACATTTCATCTTTACACAACAGGGTCTAATAAGCAAACTTTCTCTGATGTTTTTTGCTATTATTGCAAAGTATAATGTCATGTAGAGAAAAATGATTCAGAATTATTATTTATGAAATTAAACTCACCTGACGGATAACGTCCTACAACCGCCTTTATGACTCAGGTGCTGCAAACTACTAGTCCAAGCGATGATGATTCCTGAAAATATATATATAATAAAAAATTAGCCTCAAAGTTCAGTGATTATACTTTACACTTGAAAAGAAAAAAAAAGGCTATTAGGATTTAACAAGAATCCTTCTACTAACAGAATTGCAACAGTTTCTGCATTGTACCTTTAACCTTTTTGGATATTTAAATTATGTCTATGCAAGAGTTCTGTGTTTATTCTGTGAGGATGTTGGCATCCACCAAGGGCATATTTCCTGTATACTGATCATTGCAGCCAAATTTAGCTTTAATATGCATAAGCAATACTTAAACAGTACAGTGTTAGGTCCTCTTTTATTCAGGTATTGAATGAGTATTGGGCTTTTTGTAAGGCGCTAAGTTGATTTTAAACCTCAGATCTCCATTATTATGTATTGGGTCAAACAGAATATGACGATGGTCAACAACAACAAATGAGCAATTTATTTTTTCTTTTCTTTCTTTTTTTTTTTTAAATAATGGAATACGAAAAAGAACATGTAGAATTGGCTTTATGTAAACTGATATTTTAGGTAAAACACATGAATCGTATAAGACAAATTAGTTGAAGAAATTTGTTAGCTGGTTTAATCTATAGTAATTCTAACGATGTTTATATAAAAAAATAGTAGTCTATGGTATGTCTTCATGTAGAAATAAATTGTGTATTTGTATGTAGGTTTAGATGCGAGGCTCTGGGAGGCCTTAGAAACATCACTTAACAGTCTTTGCAGTTATTTGACTATAAATATGTTTTACTATTTGACTATGAAAGGCAAGATATTCAGTCTAGGTAGCACCTGTTCAATATGAACAAAATCTAAAAAAAAAAACAAAAAAACAACAACAGTAAGTCTGTATTTCATCAGATAATACAGATAATTACATAAGATAATTTTTGCTATTTGCTAAATACATATTATATACAAATACTTGATATGGCATGAAAATGTAAGATTTTATTAAAGCTGTTATAAGGACAGACTGCTTCTGAAGCTTGTCTATGTGCAGTTATGTTTGTCTAGGTAGCACCTGTTCAATATGAACAAAATCTAAAAAAAAACAACAAAAAAAAACAACAACAGTAAGTCTGTATTTCATCAGATAATACAGATAATTACATAAGATAATTTTTGCTAATTTTCTAATACATATTATATACAAATACTTGATATGGCATGAAAATGTAAGATTTTATTAAAGCTGTTATAAGGACAGACTGCTTCTGAAGCTTGTCTATGTGCAGTTATGTTTAGCCTTCTGCGATAAACATTTTTAGAACGTATTAAAAAACAGTAAGACATTCAGTTGAGAATTAAATGTTAAATTTGCTAATTTTTCGTCTAGAGCACCGATATGACAAAAAACAAAACAAATAAACAAACACAAAACAATTTGATAATATCAATGATAAATCGGATCAATAATCATTATATGGATGAGACTGCAGTGAGATACATACAGATGTTGTGCTCTGTCATTTTATAGTTTATCATTCTCTCGTTTGAAAACCTTTTGAACAAAACCATTCCAAAATATATTCATCTAATCATACAAAAGCACACATTCGAAAAGTTGTTTATTTAGTATCGCTTTTGTGCAACTTCTAGTGCTAGATTTATCTAATTTGCATACATCATATTCACTTACTGTTTTTTTTTTCATTTTTACAGGTCTAACACTGATGAAATTGAATCAAAGATCGTCTTATAGACATAATTTAAATAAGGCTCAATAGGATAATGCGTAACATTTAACACTGAAAAAGACTAAACATTAAAAAAAATATTGGCAAAAAAAATATATTTCCATGTAAATACAAAAATACAATAAATCTAAATTGCAGATTTTGCCTCTTTCAACGGTTATCCACAAACCAGTATGCGAACACTTTTGTGTTTATCATTATGATTTGGGTTAATATATTTTAGCATTACATTACAGTTATTATAAAATGCCGCCAGCAAAATGTAAACAATTCCTAAACTAAAAATCTTTATTAATATTATTTAAAAGTCTTTATAATAGTATATGCTTTCACGACTTAAAAATGTCACCGTCACAGAGCTGGGAAGACATGGACTGCCAGACATACACTCTTAAAAATAAAGGTGCTTTACGATGCCATAGAAGAACCTTTTTGTCTAAATGGTTCCATAAAGAACCTTTAACAGTAGGGCAGCGAGAGTGAAAAATCTACATTTCTCTGGTCCAGGAATCCGTCTTCTCTCAGTGTATTGTATTACATTCTTTCACCCACATTATGCTAATGGTGAGGTTTGTGTAGGTGATTTCTGCAGGTACATTCATACTGTACTCACCACTGAATTAACATCACCCTCATCAGCCAAACTGCCAAACCTACAACCTATGCGGGGGCCGTCCAGATTCACGGTCTCTCAAAGTTTAATGCCTCTGACCGAGATACAGAGAGAGAGAGAGAGAGAAAAACACTACGTGTGGGTGGAAAAAGGGGTGCAGAGACAATTGTATGCGGTATGGAAACGATTTTATATTGTGGGTATAAGAGGGATACACTTGCAGAAAGAGAGCGGAGGCGGGGTGTACGGAGGTTTCCCTTGTCCACTTCCTGTTCTGTCGTTGTTTCATGGTCAACTTCCCGTCACATGATTTTGAGCAACCACAGATTCTCACTGGCGTAAACACAGTTTGTCTTTTCGCCCACACAAACACATGCACAGAAGAAGAAAAAAATCACACATTAACACACACACATACAGTATATGCATGCACAAAATCAAGCAATCAAGTTAATAATTTAACACACCACATAACATTTAACACAAAACACAACTGTTCACATACATACAAATACAAAACAACTACTCAAACTTGTTCTTATGACCGACCCACACACACACACACACACACAGACACTTGACAGGAAGCTTTGCCTCTCACTCATGTCGTATACACTTACACACACACCCACGCCTTACCTGCCAGTTTGACAACTCTTACGTTCTTTACACTCAAGTCACTAACCACAACAGATGCGAATCTCAAGATAACACTCTGAGCCGCAAGCACAAAAAGTCTCATAACTTGCCAGCATCATTGAAGACAACAAGCTTTCATCCTACAGTTTTTGTTAATTGTTAAAAAATCTTGTAAAGTAAGGTTAGTCCGGATTCAGCCCTGTTTGCTCTATCGTCTGTCTGTTCACCATGAATGAGACCCTCTTTGGACCGAGAGAAGATGGTGGTGATCAATGGGAGACTGTGAGTATGCGACGTGTGATGTAGGAGAATGGATAAAAATAGACTGAGAAGGAAAAGAGGTTAAGGAGGAGAGCAAGACAGAAGAGGGAGAGAGATATAGAAAGACAGAGATAGAGGGAGATCCGTGACTGCTTCCTCAGGATGTGGTTTTCGGTTCAGGGTTTTAAGGGAGGGGGTGACTCTATGACAACCGAAGACTTACCTTTTGATCGGTGGCACCTGTGAAAGAAATGTGTGAGAGAAAGAGTTTTCACATTTAAGTATGATAATGCGCACAAGCGAGGAAGAGCTAGAGAGAGCGCCTGCTTTCACACGTGTTAGCTGGAGAGAAGGGTTGCACACGGCAAACAACTCGCAAGTCGACATGAACAGATAGCACACGAACAAAAACAACAGGTTATGGATAAAGAAAGTGAAGCACTGGTGAGTACTAGACAAACAGAGTGAGAAAGAAGGATGAGAAAGTAAAAATGATAAACAAAGCCACAGAACAAAGGCCGTTTGTTTTCTTTCGATAGCTGTAGACGTTTCTCAGTTTTTTCTTTGCTGTAACGTTTCCGCATTTCTGTATGAATATTTGTCTTTAAAACCAACTGTTACAGAGGAAGACAAAGAAAAACCATTCAGCGGTTGGGAAAATGTCTCATTGCGTTTGTCTGTGTGGTTTGGCTCACTAACGTTTGTGAGGTTGAAAGAATTTTGATGGCTTCTGATTGTCTTTGTGTGTCGTTTCAGTTTTCAGATGCAATGAGCGTCCTTTAACTCGAGGGTGCAGCCATTTGCAACAAGCCACATGGCTGACCTTACATCTCCCGAGGCGGAGTCGCTCTCCTTCGCTCCCATGTTCCGACACCAGGCAGAAGGTCAAAGGTCAAGCCACGACCTTTACCTGCAAGGTTCTATAAGTGGGCTCAGCCCATTTGAGGTCCCGTGTGAAGCCACGGATGGCACCGGGAACGCTCTGAATGGAATAGATCAAACGGGGAACGCTTCTTACTGGGGGAATACATCCCCTGTGTCCTCTATGGAACTGAACAGGAACAAGGCACAAGCTGGAGTTTATGAGGCCAACTGGAGTTCTCACTACCACCAACAAGAGGCGTCAGAGAGTTATGAAACAACTGGGCGTCAGCAACAAAAACTGGATTCATTCTCCGAGGCATTTTGCAGTCATAGCGCCACCCGAATGCCGGGCGGAGGAGAGCAGAGTGGCTTTAACAGCTCTACTCCTCCGTCACATGCCCTCTCTTTCCCTCTGGTTCTTAGCCCACCTCCAACGCCCCTGCCTGCTCCATCCTTTTCTCCTCCTAAACGACCTCAACACTTCTTGCCCAGCCAGATCTTGAGCCAATCACAGATACAAACTCAGACGGATGGGTCGCTGCAGTTCTTTCCCTCTTTACCTTCGCCCTCCACCGGCAGGTTCAATCACCCCATTTGGCTCCAGCTGCAAGCTGACGACAGCGACGGCCTGGACTTAACGCAGCACCTTCCACAAGATTCAAACTCCTCTCTGGTTTATTCAGAGCATGGAGGGCCTCATCTGAAACATATTAACTCCCTGCAGAGAGGTACAGGTAACATAACACCATGTTTTGTGTGTTGATCTGTCTTGGCATGCCGTTATTTTTAAACTTAAAGTGTGACTTTTAATAAAACAAGTGCTTTTCTTGCTTAGACTGTTCACTGCAAATGTCCCTCAACCCTGTACTGGTTCAACATCACCATCACCAGGCCTGCACGCAACAAGAGCTGGGTCACGAGCCTGGAACATCCGAAGATCACATGACTTGGTCTCAGGTTTGTCATCTGCACATTCAGACAGATCATTAGTCTGGTCAAGCATAATCGACTGATGCATCAATGGCTTTAATGTCATAGCAGCCCATTTAATTTTAATGTTCTGTATTTTAAGCTGGTTATGCTAGCATGCAACATTCATTACAATGTATAGAACCTTTTTTTTTCATTTTGACAGATTGGGCAATCATCTCATTCATTTGGACCTTCTCTAGACCAGTCTAGTCTCCATGTGCAGGGGTCAGGGCCAGGAGAAGGAACACGATTCGGCTACGGACTGAACTTTGGTCCTGGGTCCTCAGACAAATCTCAGGTGCCCGTCAGCACACAGGCAAGAGACCATTAATTTACTACATCATTTTGTACCATTCAAAAGTTTGGGGTCAGTAAGATCTTCAAGAAATTTTAGACAAATTAATACTTTTTTGATCAATTTAATTAATCCTTGGTGAATAAGTGACAATAAAGATATTTATAATGCTACAAAAAAAACAAAACATTTTAAATAAATTCTGTTTATTTTTTTCTTTTTAAACTTTCCATTCATCAAAAAATCCTGAACAATATTATCATGGCTTCCATGAAAAAAAAAAAAACTTTACAACTGTTTACAACATTGATAATAATAGGAACTGTTTCTTTAGAACCAAATCAGCACATTAGAATAATTTCTGAAGACAAAAAATTACATTTAAATAGAAAACTGTTATAAATAAAACTGCAATAATATTTTACAATATTACTGTTTTTACAGTGTTTTCTGATTAAATAAATGCAGTATTGGTGAGCATAAGACACTTCTTTCTAAAAAAAAAAAAAAACAACCCCAAGCTTTTGAACGGTAGTAATATACAACATGTGAAATATACAGGTTAAAACCACAAGCCTTTATGCTTGGGAGCATCATTTTAAGCAGAATCACTCACATGCAGCTTTATTTGCCTCACGTAGAATGTTCCCAGTTCCGTATATACTGGAGTCCCTTTCAACAGTGTGATCCAGATGAGTAGAGACCTAATGGAGAACTGGGAAGAAGCTACACCTCACTATATGCCACCTCCAATGCTGAACCCAACACGTAGTGGAACGGGACTCTTTTGCAACCTACTGTCTTCCCTAGCTGTGGAAAACAGAGCATTGTGGACAGACGAGAGGAAAGATGATGACTCACAAAGGTCAGCATTCAAATGTTTGTTTGTTTTTCTCAGTTTTGGTCACTCATTTGGTGTCGTCATACATGAAGCATTTGTATTATTTCAGCTAATACTAATTTTTATTTTGTATTTTTATTTAGAGCATGTCTGAACAGCTAAAATAAATGTTACTTATTTGACAACAATAATTTGTCAGGACATAAATAATGCACAGTTGTGTCAAGTTTTTGCTTTCTTGATTTGGTGAGCATCTGCTTGGTTGTGTTGAATCTTCCTTATTTTAACCCTCTGGCATTGTTCACATGGCAGTAAAAAAAATATATATATTTTTTTTTTTATTTAATTGAATGTTTTATATTGTATCTTGATAGTTTTTTTAAATGTAATATTTAGGTTTTTTTAGGAAATGTTTGGTTCTAAATTATATTCATAGTTATGATCCATTTGATACCTGCAAACCACTTTTTGAGCATAGACCTGAAAATTACATTTCCAACTTAAACTGTCGTAAAACTTGAACTGGGGACAGTTTCATAAAACAAGTTTACCAAATAAGCCTATTTAGAGCATGTCTGAACAGCTAAAATAAATGTTACTTATTTGACAACAATAATTTGTAAGGACATAAATAATGCAAGTTTTTGCTTTCTTGATTTGGTGAGCATCTGCTTGGTTGTGTTGAATCTTCCTTATTTTAACCCTCTGGCATTGTTCACATGGCAGTAAAAAAAATATATATATTTTTTTTTTTATTTAATTGAATGTTTTATATTGTATCTTGATAGTTTTTTTAAATGTAATATTTAGGTTTTTTTAGGAAATGTTTGGTTCTAAATTATATTCATAGTTATGATCCATTTGATACCTGCAAACCACTTTTTGAGCATAGACCTGAAAATTACATTTCCAACTTAAACTGTCGTAAAACTTGAACTGGGGACAGTTTCATAAAAAGTTTAAGTGAGTTATTGAAGTTAGCCGTTATGAAAAATGCACAAAATACAATTTTTTTAATATGAAATATGAAATATAAAAACGTTTTACTCAAAAGCTGCAAGAAAACCAAAGCCATGAATCTAAACAAGTTGCGTTCCAAATTTGAGGTTGATATCACAAATAAACGAGGTCTCAGTAAGATTTAGTTTGGGTGCAATACCAAACATTTCTACAACAAAAAAATCCCTTCCCATTAATTTTCAATGACTGTGAACAATACAAATATGACCATTTAACCTTTTCAAATCATCCAAACATTTAAAAATCCCTTCCCATTAATTTTCAATGACTGTGAACAATACAAATATGACCATTTAACCCATTTAACCTATGCCCATGATTTTTTTGTGTGCGCGCGCGCGCGCGCGCATGTTCACATAGCAAGTGCCAAAATCTTTACTAAGTTTCGTACCTGCCCATTCCAATAAAGTAAAAAATTTAAAAAACAAATAAAAAATAAACGATATGTGAAATTTACCCAGAGGGATAAGAAACTTATGTGTCACGCGTTTCTGAGACAGATGATTTCATTAAACTTTGTCAATTCACACCCAAGGTGCATAAATATAGGCCCAGAGTTCCAAGCTGAGCTGCCAGATCTGATTATAGGAAGAGAGCATGAGGTGTGTCCAGAGGAACCAGTCAGGGAGGAGTTACTATGGAAACCTTGGGCAGAGTTAGAGGAAAATGACATCCTTTTACAGCACGGTAATCAAAATCAAATATTTTAATTACCATTACAC